ATTTATTAAGAAAATGCCTGCAAAAACAGCTTTAACAGAAAAGTATAACATACAACAGAAAAAAAAGGTTCTGTCTATCTGTCCAATCAGAAGGTACAGTTTTCCCATAAAAGTTAAGCATGAGCAAGGTAGGCAGGAAGGCTTAGACAGTGCAATTTAGCAACAACACTGTAGTCTTGCTTTTTTATGTCTCTGGTCAGACAGTGGGGTCCTATGAGTTTGCCATAGCGTTTCCCATTTTTTGTTAAATCCAGTAACGTATAGTTCGCGCTGTTCCATGATGCATCCCTGACTGCAGGACAGCTTGATGTCTTTGGAAAATGTTTGGGGACTTTCAATGCTTAGAGGCCCATAGGGACTATTGAGGCACAGATGATGTGAAGGAGCCTCATAGCCTCAGTCGTTTCCCGAGATATGGGCCCCCAGTAGTTCTGCTAGACAGTGCACAGGGAGCATTAGCACAGCAGCCATGGGGCAAACTTCTTGATAATACCAATGAAATGCCTGTGGACAAAGGCAAATCTAGTTCCCTGAAGGAAAGATGGACTTGGAAACTTGAGATTGTTGATATTTTGCCACAATTTTGGTTCATCTCAGGTCCTCAGAGATTCTAGAAGTCTCCTACGTATCTGTTGTCCACCATGCTTAGTGTGGCACAGACAGACCTCTTGCAGAGAAGGTTAAGTGAACGTCTCTCCTTTTTATCTGCTTTCAGGTGTGATTTCTATATTGCCCACAACTTGCCCCAGGTGAGTTTACAGGAGCAGGGCTTGTAACATTCTTATTTATCCGCAAAAAAGGGGTGCCAATACTTTTGTCCAGCCCATTTTTGGAGGTTTTGTGTGACATTATGTCGAATTTGCTTTCTTTCCTCCCCTTTTTTTGGGACAAAGGTGTCCCAATACACAAAAAGGGCCAAATAAACATGTGGTATAGCAAAACATGTGTTAATGCAATACGTTTCGTGAGAAATACATGATTTCTGGAGAAATATCAAGGGTGCCAACAATTTCGGCCATGACTGTATATTTTATTTGCACCTTTTCACTTTGATTCATTATTATTTAGGGGTCTGTTTGATTGGGTAGCACAGCATCATTTTTTTCAAAATTCACTTTTCTGACACTATTGGTATGATAGGCAAGTGTTAGCAGCCACCTGGTTTTGTTTTTTAGCATTGGCAGCGCAGGAGGAATTTATATGTTTTGGTTTTTTTAGTGAAATATTACTTCCTTTCTTTATGACCTATTTTAATGTGTGGACTCAAGATTCTTTAGCCTCTGAGGGGAGCTATTTTGTCTAGAGATGCTCTTAATGACAAATTAGCCCCACTTGAACTCTCCCATTGGACTTATCTTTAAATTTACCATTTTATGTCTACAAGGGGCTCAGGGCTTTGTGGACTAGACCATTATCACCCTTTTTTTGCATGCACGCTTCACCCCAAGACATGTTGTTTCCACCTTATATACTTCTTTATTAGATGTCTCTTTGGCTTTCACGAATTCAGCTTACACGCGTTGGTCTACAGACCTGGACCTTTCCTTCTCCGAAGAAGAATGGGAGGTCATTTGCACATATATTCATACATAAGGCTTGTCCAATGTTGCTATCCAGGTAAATGGATACAAAGTCCTATATCGCTGGTACTTTACCCCTTCTCTATTGGATAAATGTTATCCCTCGGTTTCTGATCTTTGTTGGCGATGCAGAGAGGCCTTGGGTTCCATGCTTCACATATGGTGGACATGTCCTCGTCTTCAGCCTTTTTGGACTCGGGTCCATGAGATTATCTGCAGGGTGACTTATACGTTGGAGTTTACCACAACACAATATACTTATCATCACACTTCACTTGCCAAGAGAGATTACAATAAATCTTTGGCCATGTGCATGGTTAATGCCGCTAAATTGTGTATACCATGTCATTGGCGTAATACTAATATTCCCACTGTACGGGGAAGGTTCAGCAGAATCAACAAGATGGAGGAGATGGAGTAATTGATTCACATTGCTCAAGATAAAATGTCAAGGTTTACTACCACTTGGGCTTGCTGGATGGATTTCAAGACCTCAGCCGAATATAGATCTCATCTGTAAATTAGATTGGTGTCCCTTTTATCTGTGAACCTGGGCGTACCTCCTATCCTCATTCCATTTTGTTTACAAAACTTCTATTTATTAAGAAATAGCCTGCAAAAACAGCTTAACAGCATAAAGTATAACATACAACAGAAAAAAAGGTACATCTGTAATATTCATTCCAATAAGGTACAGTCATGTAAACATAAAAGTTAAGTACATGAGCAAGGTAGGCAGGAAGGTAGACAGTGCAATAAGGCTAGCAACAGAAAAACACTATCAATTAAATCATTGATATTCATTGGTCAGACAGTAACTGTCTATGAGTTTGCCAAACATCCCATTTTTGTCAAATAAGTGCATCCTATCCAGTAACGTATAGTGAATACGTTCCATGAGCATCACTGCATCGACTCTTTGTAAAACTGAAGCCAATGGGCGACTTTCAATGAAGGGCAGAGGCCCATAGGGTTGAGGCACAGATGATGTGAAGGAGCCTCATAGCCTCAGTCGTATTCCCGAGATATGGGCCCCCAGTAGGCAAATCTGCATAGACAGATGCACTGGGGCATCTGCCACAGCAGAGGCCACTGCAGAGATCTTACGCCATACCAATGAAATGCCTGGACAGGCCCAAAATATATGCACAAGGGTACCAGCAAGGCCACAACCCCAGAAGGAAAGATGAGACGTCCCTGGAAACATGATGTGTAGTCTAAAGGGGGTATAATACCAACGGGTTAATACTTTAAGGGTCATCTCACGGACAGAAAGAGATCTAGAGCTCTTACGTATGTTATCCACCATGGGGTCCCAATCCTCTTCAGAGAAGGTGACACCACTATCAGCCTTCCAATTCTGTCTAAACAATGGGGGTGAGGGAAAGATAGTTGCCAAAAAAGGCAGTACAAATCTAAGATAAGACTCTACCCCTAGGAGAGTCATGGATAATACATTCAAAAAACGTAAACGGGGACAAAGGTATCAAAGCAAAATGTGCATTGAAAAAATGTCTTATTTGCCAATAATGATAGTATTTGTGAAGTGGGATATCAAAACGTGTTTGTAAAGTCTCAAAAATGATATAAGACCAACCTCTTTGAAATTTAGATAATCTGATAAGGGATCGATTGTACCACCAGCGGAATGCCTGTGGAGATGAAAATGCCACGACGAAATTCGGGTCTCCAAAAAATGACGAACACAGTGAAACAGAGGAGACAAGATTAAATTTAAGTTTATAATGGGACCAAAGTACCAATGAGTGGGAAACAATTTGAATTATAGGTCAACAACAAGCAAGGGGAAATTTTTGTCCATAGTAGACCCAGTAGATAGAACGGGCGTATAGATTGAGATTCAAATCTGACCCAAGGGATCTGAGAGTTAATAGTCCCCCATTGCGATAGTTGTGTAAACTGAGCCGACTGTCAGCGCTCCAGGGTGTGACCAGAGGTATGTGACTGACGCAGGGAAACGTAGGCTTCAGATATGTTATAAATATAATTTATTAACACTAACAATACATAAACGCAGTGCAATACTAAAACATAACACAGTGCAAACGAACCTAACCAAACCACCCACAGATAACAGTACATACAATGCAAGCGTCGTCAGGCAGGCCGGGATTATCAACAGGAGGTCAGAACGTATGGGGTTAAGCAGGAGAATGGTCAGACAAAGCCAGCGATCAGGAGCAGGAGAATGGTCAGACAAAGCAAGGGATCAGGAGCAGGAGAATGGTCAGACAAAGCCAGGGATCAGGAGCAGGAGAATGGTCAGACAAAGCCAGGGATCAGGAGCAGGAGAATGGTCAGACAAAGCAAGGGATCAGGAGCAGGAGAATGGTCAGACAAAGCCAGGGATCAGGAGCAGGAGAATGGTCAGACAAAGCCAGGGATCCGGATCAGGCAGGGTCAGCAACAAGACAGAAACAGGAACAGGAACAGGAACAGGATGCAGGAACAAGATACAGGGCCCAGGAAAAACACACACCAAGGCAGAGTCTGCAGGTCTGGCCATCCCTTAAATACACCAGTATAAGCAGTTTCAGGTGTTTAGCTGGCTGCAAGGTTGAGTCTCTGATTGCTGGGAGCACCCGCTGGCCAGCCCTGGTACTGCAGCCCATAAGGCAGGTCCCACCATTGCTGGCCAGTCCATTCCTGACAGTACCCCCCCCCCCTCAAGGAGCGGCCTCAGGACGCTCCAAACAGTCCTAGCTGGGCAAAATGTTCCACCGCCCGGGTCTGGTAACTGGCGGGATATCAAAGACTGGCACACCGGGCAGGACTCCGGGCAGCGGCACACTGGGCAGGACTCCGGGCAGCGGCCCATCGGGCAGCGGCACACCGGGCAGAGGCCCATCGGGCAGAACTCTGGGCAGAGGCACATCGGGCAGCGGCACACCAGGCAGCGGCACACCGGGCAGCGGCACACTGGGCAGGACTCCGGGCAGCGGCCCATCGGGCAGCGGGCACACCGGGCAGAGGCCATCGGGCAGAACTCTGGGGCAGAGGCACATCGGGCAGCGGCACACGGGCAGCGGCACACCGGGCAGCGGCACATCGGGCTGGACTCCGGGCAGCGGCACATCGGGCTGGACTCCGGGCAGAGGCACATCGGGCTGGACTCCGGGCAGAGGCACATCGGGCTGGACTCCGGGCAGAGGCACATCGGGCTGGACTCCGGGCAGAGGCACATCGGGCTGGACTCCGGGCAGAGGCACATCGGGCAGGACTCCGGGCAGAGGCACATCGGGCAGGACTCCGGGCAGAGGCACATCGGGCTGGACTCTGGGCAGAGGCACATCGGGCTGGACTCCGGGCAGAGGCACATCGGATCACCAGGCGAAGCAGCAGGCAGTGGGCCCCATGCGGCGGAGCGGCAGGCATTGGGCCCCCAGGCGGAGTGGCAGGCAGGCCGGGCCCCCAGGCGGTGCGACAGGCACCGGGCCCCCAGGTGGGGCGACAGGCACCGGGCCCCCAGGTGGGGCGACATGCATCGGGACCCCAGGCGGGGTGACAGGCATCGGGCCCCCAGGTGGAGCGGCAGGCACCGGGCCCCAGGCAGGCGGAGCGGCAGGCACCGGGCCCCCAGGCGGGGCGACGGGCACGGGCCCCCAGGCGGAGGGCGGGGCGGGCGGGCCCCCAGGCGGAGCGGCGGGCGCCGGACCCCCAGGCGGAGCGACGGGCGCCGGGCCCCCAGACGGGGCGACGGGCGTCGGGCCCCCCCGGGGGCGGGCGGGACGGGCGTCGGGCCCCCAGGCAGAGCGGCAGCGGCGGGCGCCGGGCCCCCCCAGGCGACCCCCAGGCGGAGCGACAGGTCTCGGGCCCCCAGGCGGAGCGGCGGGCGCCGGACCCCCAGGCGGAGCAACAGGTCTCGGGACCCCCCCAGGCGGAGCGGCGGGCGCCGGACCCCCAGGCGGAGCGACAGGGCTCGGGCCCCCAGGCGGAGAGAGCGGGGCTCGGGCCCCCAGGCGGAGCCCGGGGCGGACCCCCAGGCGGAGCGGCGGGTGCTGGACCCCCAGGGCGGAGCGACAGGCACCGGGTCACCAGGCACGACAGTGGGCTCCGAGTCAACTGGCATGACCGCTGGCACTGGGTCAGACAATGGGTCCTCTGGCTGGACAGCGGGCATCGGGTCACCAGGCATCAGGTCATTTGGCTTGACAGCGGGCACCGCGTCATCTGGCAAGGCAGTGGGCTCCGAGTCAACTGGCATGACCGCCGGCACTGGGTCAGACATTGGATCGTCTGGCTGGACAGCGGGCATCGGGTCACCAGGCATCAGGTCATTTGGCTCGACAGCGGGCACCGCGTCATCTGGCAAGGCAGTGGGCTCCGAGTCAACTGGTATGACCGCGGGCACTGGGTCAGACATTGGATCGTCTGGCTGGACAGCGAGCATCGGGTCACCAGGCATCAGGTCATTTGGCTCAACAGCGGGCACCGCGTCATCTGGCAAGACAGTGGGCACCAAGTCACCAGACATCAGGTCATTTGGCTTGCCAACGGGCACCGCGTCATCTGGCAAGGCAGTGGGCACCGAGTCACCAGGTACGACAGCGGGCTCTGAGTCAATTGGCACGACAGCGGGCACCGGATCAGGTACCGGATCATCTGGATCAACAGCGGGCATCGAGTCAACTGGCCTAATAGGATCATCAGGCTGGATCAGTTCATCATGCTGGGTAGAGGCATCAGGCTGAGTGGAGGCATCAGGCTGAGTGGAGGCATCAGGCTGAGTGGAGGCATCAGGCTGAGTGGAGGCATCAGGCTGAGTAGAGGCATCAGGCTGAAGAGAGGCATCAGGCTGATGAGAGGCATCAGGCTGAAGAGAGGCATCAGGCTGAAGAGAGGCATCAGCCTGAAGAGAGGCATCAGGCTGAAGAGAGGCATCAGGCTGAATAGAGGCATCAGGCTGGGTACAGGCATCAGGCTGGGTACAGGCATCAGGCTGGGTACAGACATCAGGCTGGGTACAGGCTTCAGGCTGGGTACAGACATCAGGCTGGGTACAGGCATCAGGCTGGGTACAGACCTCAGGCTGAAGTGCGGGTGCCGAGGCACCAGGCTGAACCACGGAAGGCAGGTTCTCAGACGGCAGGCTCACCGCTTTGGATACTGGCAGGATGGTATTGGTCGGAAAGAATTTTCGCTTTTTTCTGGTTTTAACTACTGGAGCACTGCAAGTAAACGCAGGTCTGCAAACGAATGGAGTAGCCGGACCCCCAGGCGGAGCGACAGGTCTCGGGCCCCCAGGCGGAGCGGCGGGCGCCGGACCCCCCAGGCGGAGCGACAGGTCTCGGGCCCCCAGGCGGAGCGGCGGGGCGCCGGACCCCCAGGTGGAGCGACAGGTCTCGGGCCCCCAGGCAGAGCGGCGGGCGCCGGACCCCCAGGCGGAGTGACAGGTCTCGGGCCCCCAGGCGGAGCGGCGGGCGCCGGACCCCCAGTCGGAGCGACAGGTCTCGGGCCCCCAGGCGGAGCGGCGGGCGCCGGACCCCCAGGCGGAGCGACAGGCACCGGGTCACCAGGCACGACAGTGGGCTCCGAGTCAACTGGCATGACCGCTGGCACTGGGTCAGACAATGGGTCGTCTGGCTGGACAGCGGGCATCGGGTCACCAGGCATCAGGTCATTTGGCTTGACAGCGGGCACTGCATCATCTGGCAAGGCAGTGGGCTCCGAGTCAACTGGCATGACCGCCGGCACTGGGTCAGACATTGGATCGTCTGGCTGGACAGCGGGCATCGGGTCACCAGGCATCAGGTCATTTGGCTCGACAGCGGGCACCGCGTCATCTGGCAAGGCAGTGGGCTCCGAGTCAACTGGTATGACCGCGGGCACTGGGTCAGACATTGGATCGTCTGGCTGGACAGCGGGCATCGGGTCACCAGGCATCAGGTCATTTGGCTCAACAGCGGGCACTGCGTCATCTGGCAAGACAGTGGGCACCAAGTCACCAGACATCAGGTCATTTGGCTTGCCAGCAGGCACCGCGTCATCTGGCAAGGCAGTGGGCACCGGGTCACCAGGCATTGGATCGTCTGGTTCGACAGCGGGCATCGAGTCACCAGGTATGACAGCGGGCACTGGGTCACCAGGCATCAGGTCATTTGGCTCGCCAGCGGGCATCGCGTCATCTGGCAAGGCAGTGGGCACCGAGTCACCAGGTACGACAGCGGGCTCTGAGTTAATTGGCACGACAGCGGGCACCGGATCAGGTACCGGATCATCTGGATCAACAGCGGGCATCGAGTCAACTGGCCTAATAGGATCATCAGGCTGGATCAGTTCATCATGCTGGGTAGAGGCATCAGGCTGAGTGGAGGCATCAGGCTGAGTGGAGGCATCAGGCTGAGTGGAGGCATCAGGCTGAGTAGAGGCATCAGGCTGAGTAGAGGCATCAGGCTGACGAGAGGAGGCATCAGGCTGAAGAGAGGCATCAGGCTGACGAGAGGCATCAGGCTGAAGAGAGGCATCAGGCTGAAGAGAGGCATCAGGCTGAAGAGAGGCATCAGGCTGGGTACAGGCATCAGGCTGGGTACAGGCATCAGGCTGGGTACAGACCTCAGGCTGAAGTGCGGGTGCCGAGGCACCAGGCTGAACCACGGAAGGCAGGTTCTCAGACGGCAGGCTCACCGGTTTGGATACTGGCAGGATGGTATTGGTTGGAAAGAATTTTTGCTTTTTTCTGGTTTTAACTACTGGAGCACTGCAAGTAAACGCAGGTCTGCAAACGAATGGAGCAGCTGGAGACAGAGAAGAGCTGGAGGATGGAACAGAGGAGGGAGCAGTTGCTACAGAGGGCTTTTTTACAGGGTTAAAGGCAGGATAGGTGCAGCGAGTGGGAACAGGGTACTGACATGCGGTAGATAGCAGGGCAGGAGGAGCTGTTGGGAATGCAGAAATAGAGCTTTGAGGAAATAGATTAGAAGCAGGACTGGGTTTTTGTAGGCTGACTGAGGCTGGGTGCAACAAATCTGTCCATGTCTGCAGTATGGGTTGAACAAAGCTGAGCTTACACAAAGCCTGTCTGACCAAAGACTGCACTGCGTTTATACAATCTCTTAGTATCTGTGGTGAACATGCAGCATAATGCTCCAAGAAGCAATCCACATCATCCTCTAATAACCATACCAGGGACTCTGGTCGGCACTAAATGGCGGCAAAAATTCATCCCTGCATTCGGGGGTACTAGATGAAACCAACTCCGCACAAATCTGAATCAATGGCTGCACCTCAGAGAATTCTGTGCCCTGATCTACTAGAACATGAGCGAGCCATATACATTCTAGAAGTTCATCCCGGGGATACTCCTTCAGAGTTTGATAAGCATACTCTCTGTCATCAAACACTAGCAGAGTCTGCAGGTCTGGCCATCCCTTAAATACACCAGTATAAGCAGTTTCAGGTGTTTAGCTGGCTGCAAGGTTGAGTCTCTGATTGCTGGGAGCACCCGCTGGCCAGCCCTGGTACTGCAGCCCATAAGGCAGGTGAGTCCCACCATTGCTGGCCAGTCCATTCCTGACACCGACAGGTAATAAAGCAAATTGGGGAGTCTGAGGCCATCCATCCGTTGCGACTGATAAAGGACGGATGAAGTAATACAAGGACGTTTATTATGTCAAAATAAAATTATTAATCATCCGTTGAAAACGATCAAGGAATGTTTTCAAGACCGAGACTGGGAGTGCTAGGAATAAATAAAATAATTTTGGCAAGACATTCATTTTCACGTGACTCTGCCCAAAAATGAGATAGGATATCCATGCCAGATCTTTAACAAAGTAGAAAGACATGACACACATGGTGAGTATTTAGCTACAGATAGTCCTGAGTATCTAGGTGTAAGATAGATACCTAAATGTGAGATCCGGTCTGTGGCCCAACAAAATGGGAAAGAGGTATGGAGGGATGCACTCAGGGATTTAGTGACATTAATAGGCATGACAACTGATTTAGTAAAATTTACAGTGAGACCCGATATGAATGCAAAATCATTCCATAATGTGCATAAATTAGGCAATGAAACTAATGGGTTAGTAAGGAAAAGCATAACATCATCTGCATACATACATAATTTGAATTGTGAGACCAAGAGTGAGTACCCTGAAATATCTGGGTGTGTTCTTATAGCAATTGCCAAGGGTTACAAAACTAGCGCAAATAGTAAGGGTGAAAGTGGACATCCCTGACAGGTACCTCTGCCCAGTGTAAAAAAGTCAGAGCTGCAGCCTCGGAGTCTACTTCTTGTTTGGGGGGAGGCAGAGGCGGACTGACAACTCATGGGGCCCCCGGGCAATTGGGGATCATGGGGCCCCTGTGTCCTTGCCCAAACTCAAAAAAGCCTATGAAAAAGGTACCAGGGGCATCTCATGGGGCCCCCTACTGACCCCGGGCCCTCGGGCAGGGCCTGAGTTTCCAAATGGTCAGTCCGCCCCTGGGAGGGGCATACAGAGCATGTACACCAGACAGAAATTTGTCACTGAAGCCCATCTTCTGCAACAGTGAAAATAAATATGGCCAGAGGACACTATCAAAGGTCCCCATTCCATTTTGACTTAGGAATGTGGGATAGGCCAGGATTCAGTGGGCAAGCAGTGCAGGCAGAGGCCAAGAAAAGGATGCTGTATTTCTTCCCCCTCTCCTTTTTATTTTTCCTTTATCTTCTTCTCTTTCTCTCCTACTTATTCTATCTTTTAATTGTCTCTGTTTTGGGTCGCTGTGATGACACATGCCCAACAGGACATTCTCGAAAGGTACTGTGACACAAGCACTGGAGATTCAGTATTCCTGATAGTATTTTGATATTTTTCATTTGATGTGTTTAGCAGTGCATCAGGTCTGCTTTGGAATTGGGAATGTTCCTTGCCTACTCAAGGGCTTGGCCACTTGGTTTAGGTATGCTCTTTGTCTGAGTTTTTTTATGTTTCTTTGAATGTTAACTGTTCAATTGTAAACTTGTAAACTACTGCTTTTTCTTCAATAAAATGTTTATAAAACAAAAAAAAAAGATTCTTTAGCCTCTGACCAGTTATTGGAGGCCCACATTACAGTCATTCAGAAACAGGAGAAAGACTTTGCA